GCCCCCGAGCCCGGCTCGGGTCCCGACGCGGCTCGGCGATTCGCCCGGAAAGGGGCCCTTCGGCAGAAAAACGTGCACGAAGTGCGGGACCATAAATTCATCGCGCGGTTCTTCAAGCAGCCCACCTTCTGCAGCCACTGCACCGACTTCATCTGGTAAGGAGAGCCGCCGACCCCACCTCCTCCGACTGCCTCCACCCCCTCTCCTCCCCGGTGCAAGCCCCCTCCCCAAACCAAGCTCCGCAGTGCCGGCGCGTCCTCAGCCGACACCTCCCTCCGTCTCTCCTTCCTTCCTCCCTCCCTCCTAATCCTGGCTTCGCGAAGGAGCCCCGCTTGCATTCCCCGAAAGGCAGACTGACTCTTCGCGCCGCCTCTCCAGAGCTCCCTCTGCCCCCGTCGTTCTCCTTTTAGCTCCTCCATAGATTTCCCAGGTGGGTTCACTGACTGTCTTGGTGCGGGAAGAGAGAGTCCACTGTTTCAAGTGGGAGTAACAGATTTCCCTTGGGACTTAAGTCATCTTATTGAAAGGAGGAGACCATGTGGGCTGTCCCAGTGACAACGACTGCTCTTCCACTCTCGCAACTTTGGCAGCTTTCCCCAATCTGGTGTCTTCCAGATGTATTGGATGTTAATTCACATCCTCTTCTGGAAATGATGGGAGGTGATGTTCCACACATCTGGAGGACAACAGGTTGGGGAAAGCACTTTTGGAGTACCTGTGTGTTTCTGAATGTGAGGGAATCTCCCAGCATACCATTACTTGCATACCTGTGGTGATGGATATTTATCGGTACTCCACTGAGAAAGCTTTTGGACACTCCTTCAACTTCCCAGAAAGGATCCTTGTTGCCAGGTCACTCTGGAGAGATAGTTAAACAGTACTACACCTTTTTCAAAGACACTTCCTGAATTGTAGCCCTCCCTCTGTGACAACTCCGCCACTCCCACTGTCCACATCAGAAAATGAAGCTCTTTATGTACCACTTTTGCACTAGAGATACACACAAATTCATGTTGATCCTCTGCATAACCTTTATCAGCATCATTTGACTTTTTTCTGTAAAAGACTTTTCTCTCTCCCCTTCTCCCCTCTGAATGGGTTACACTCTGAAAAAGGAATCTTTGTATGATAACACTTGAAAGAGGGCACCTTTTTAAACATTTGTTGCCAGTCTGGTTGGGCTGTCCCCTTACAGTGATAGAAGAGGTGCCAGCTATATCCCAGGGAGGAAACTCTTGTGTATATCATTCCAATTGCTGCTTTGCTGGCCTGATTACATGCATGACCTAGTATGTGCCTTCCAAAGGAGGCATGTATATGCTCTGCCAACCTATTAGCCCTTAAACTGATTTGATTTCTGACAACCCCCTTCCTTCCATGCAGCATCCCCTTTCCTCAGAAGAAGTGGGGACCTGGGGACCTCCATATGCTGCTGCAGCATCCCTCATCACTGTATCATGGCTAGAACTGCTGGGAAGTGCAGCTTCTCTACATCTGGAAATTTGTAGGTTCCTCATCCTTGCTCTATTCATGTACTAGCTGTTTAGAAGGTACAGCTTGTCGTACTAAGGTGAACATACCTACATCTGCCCTTTGCTATTAAAGGTACAGGAACCTTGCCCTCCATTGCACATGATTATCTTGTTCATCCATTGAACTGAGCTCATTTAATAAGGGATTAATAAGCATTGTTCTCTTTCTCTGCCCCTTCACTTCCTGGCATGGAAAGCTGATTGGTAACAACTGCTGTGCAGCTACTGAAATTAAGAAAAAAACTGTATTGCTTCCCTGACACCAGAACAGAAACAGCAACAAAACAATTTGTTGTTCCAACATAGGAATTATATTAATATGCCAAAAAGCTTAATCTAGGCTGCAAAAAGATAGAGGTAGTAATATCACTATATATGACTTCTATAAACAATGGCAGAGATTTAAATTCAAGGCATCTTGACCCTCCATAGCCCAATGTGAGCATGTAAATAAGAACCACTGACATCAATTTCACCTTGTAAAATGTTCTCGTTAAGTATTTTTCCTTTCTTCCTGGGAATTTCTTCCTTAGATCCAAACTTTCTTTGCATGACATAGTCTTCATGGCTATATTCACATGACTTCCTATTGATTAATCACAGTTTACTTTGCAGAGTTTGATGGGCAGAACACTGAACCACGAGCTAACCAATTGGTTAATCATTGGTTAGTTTATGTAAAGGAGAACTTCTTTACACAAATCTTACACAACTACTATGTACTGGCTAGTGAGAATTCCAGCTGTATTTTATTAAAGAGGTTTTTTTTTTTTCAAATTCTAGAACTCTTTCATGCTCTACTTGAATTCTGTACTGATTGTCTAGCCCATTTATCTGCTTTATCATTGTCCTTTAGAGACTTTCTTTCCTCTCCCTCTTTCTAATCCATCTTGCTCCTTTCCTTTACTGAAAAGCTTTCAGTGCTCACTAGCTATAGTATTGACATAGCATACTAACCTATAGTGCAGGCTCAAGCCTTTGTCATGGAACTTACAAGGTAATGCTGGGACAACCAGTCTCTGTCACTCCAACCATAGGATAGTTGTTATAGCAATAAAATCAGGGGAGATCCACACATATGTTGCCTTGAACCCGTGAGAAAAAAAAATGGGATATAAATAAATCATAAAAACATACTGAGCCACAAACTAAACACAATGTGTGATCCTACCCATTATGTCTCATTTTATGCATTTACTTGTTACACCTAGGTATGTTTGGGACTCATAGGTTGTAATTCCACTAAGCCTGAGTTTTTAACCATAGTCTGTTCAAGTCACTGGGTCCTAGAGATGAGGAAAATGATCATAGCTCATTGAGCTAGTTTTTGGTTTACTTTTCCTCCGTGACTTTTGCTGGAACCCAGAATTGGTTTTATTAAAAAGTCAGGAATAAGTCATGATTTGGAATTCATGACATAATGGCATCTCAGATTTATAATAAATGAGAGCTTGTAACCAGTAGCCTCCATAGTTTCAAACCGTAGCTTCTTGTTAAAAATTATGCATGTTTCTTGATGGGTTCACATCTTATCCTAAGTGTTGAAAAGTCACAGTATATAATCATTTTACTGAATTTAAAGGGCATGTGTCATGACCTGCTGTCTCAATTTCTTGTTCTAATAAGGCTCAGCCTAAACACAAGACCTATAATCATTAGGATTTTTACTTAAATATAGCTGTAGTGAATTGTGAATTGGACCAGAACAGTAAATATGTTGGGGGAAGTTAACATCTCTCCCCCACAATAAGTCACTTGTACCCAGCTGGCCAAACCAAATGATCTGATATTACGTTGTTCTTGTTTTGAGTCCTGATGTCAAAGTTGTGCCCATTAATTTTTTTCTACAAAGTTTTTTCCATTTGACCTACATAGAATCCAGAGGGGCATTGCTGGAAGATGATAGCATATTTCACATTAGAAGAAGAGCATGTGAAGAAAGTGCATGTACGTGTTGGGGGCCTATGATGGTGCTGTTGATGTAGATGTCGGGACCCCACATGCTCTTCCTTTGATGCCTTATACGGCAAACCTCCATGGTGATGGTTCTCATATATGTTTGTGTGTGTGTGTGTGTGTGTATATATACATACACACACACATACATACACACACACACACACACATATATATGCGTATGCTGCACTTTCTCTCTGTCTAGTTGTTTTATCTCTCTTTCTCCCGTGAGTTGAGCTCAACTCCTGGTGGCTACAAGAATGCATGTAGGGGCTTTTTTTTTGGCAACAGTTCAGAATACTGTAATTTGCCATGGCCTTCATACAGGGTGCCTTTTCACCCCTGGAATTCTCTGAGGATTGTGTGCTTATGTACGCGTACACACTACTTACTATGGGGAAACAAAAATGTGTGAGATATATATTTAGGATCTTCATCAAGTTCATTGTAAGGTATATGTAACTGGGCCTTTTACAAGTCAAATGATTTGGCAATTTCCAAACAAGCTGTGGGGTGGTGGTGATGGTGGTTGCTGTTCTGGTCTTTATTAGTGAAGTCAGTGAAGAACTATACTGGGTTTCTGTTACTGTGTTCCCTTTTGAGGGGAAGAGGACTTAAAATACTTTCATCAGTGACATGTTTGGACATATGTATTTGTGGGAGGGGCAGGAATTCTTGAAGTTTATTATGGTCATAGAATAGGACTGGGAGGAAATTTTCCATATAGCAAACCTGAAACAAAGTAATAGGTTTCACTGGGAAGTCAGAAAACAGTGTTCTTTCTTGGTTAAATCCTGAGCTTTTATCATGCAAACTGGATAAAGCTATGTGGTTAAACGTGTTTATAGATACAGATACAGATATAGATATGTGTGTATATTTGTGTGTGCGTGCGCGCGTGTGTGTTGTATTTTAGTTGGTGAACTACGGATTGCATAGTTTAACTAAGAGCCACCGAAATCAGTGATGCGTCTTGTGCTGTATGGTAATTCCAATGGTTTCACAGGGTGTGAAATTGAATCCAGATTCAGTCATGTAAGTGGCGCAGCATGCTTCCTCTGTATGTTCATCTTATTAGCAAAACATGACTGGGTATTCACATGTGACTAACTGGGAACTGTTTATATTCAAATCACCTTGCTTTTGTTTGCATGTGGTAATTTGTTTACCCAAGAGTATGCAATCATTGCATGATGATTGAAAGGTAGAGTTTCCAGGATGTGGTCCTATTTAAACTAACTTACGGCACCTTGTACTGAAGAAAGCGGTACTCTCTGAACGGCTTCTTTGAGGACATTTTGAATTTAGGAAACAGTAGTAGAGAACATAGTGGTGTTTGTTCCACTGTGAGTGAGCATCTAAATAAATAAATAACGTGTGTTTGCATGTTTACTCATGTTTTAACCATGGTTTGTGGAATTATCCTAATTTTCTGACTTCACATAACATGCTGAATAGTAAACTAACCATGTAGGCAGGGTTTGCTAAGACATTAAGCTAAAATATGATGGCCTAGTTTATTGTTCCTTCCAAAGACAGTTGGAGGAATGTCTTTAAACTGGAATATATTCTTTTAAAAAATGATAAAAACAGGAGTAGATTGAGTTTTCTCATATGTACGTTCAAGGAAAACTAGTACATTATACATATGCGCGACTTCGTATCCTAGAGAATTTCTGGGTTTGTAAGTATGTTGTCCGGTAGAATCAGAATACAAAATATCCTGTGCAGAGTGTCTGAACATCCTATTATATCCTGTATGAAGGTATAATCTGATCCTTGTGGGAAAGCCTCCAAGTCTCACTGGGAATAACACCACTGACTACAACAGACTTCAAATGCTCTGTTAGTTTGCCATGTATATTTTCTCCTCTGTGTATTTGTTGAAAATACCCTGTATGGGCAGTGGGAAACTGAAGATAGATCAGAAGATGGGGGAAATGACCAAGTGTCATATTTAGTAAACATGGATTTTTTAAAAAAATGTCATAAAGAAGAAAATGACCAGTAATTTGAGAACTGGGAACAGAAAAGAAAGCCTAGGGTTTTGCAGAAGTAAAATTATACAGGGGCTATATCACCAAGTACAGAGGGATAATTAATGCATTTTAAAAACTACAGTATTTTGATGTTATACTCTAAAGAAATATCTGATTTATATATTGCTAAATTTGTACTCCATCTTTTCTTCACAAGTTCAAAGTAGTACATATATTAGTTCTGCCCTTCTTCTTATAGCAAACCTGTGATGGGGAGACAGAGAGAGAGAGAGAGAGAGAGAGAGAGAGAGAGAGAGAGAGAGAAACCAAGAGAGAGTATTCTGGGCTCAAAGTCAGTTTCATGGTTGAGCCGGAATATGAAGCAGGTTGTTCAGG